TTTGTTATTTTTAAGAATAGAAAATCTCTACTATAAATAAGCTATATCTTTTATTTTTATTTAGTTATTTAGTTTTTGTATTTTAATTTTTATCTTTCTTTAGTTATATTCTTCTTTAATTAATAGTAATTTTATTATTTAGTTATTTTAAATCTTGAATTATATTGATTATTAGTGACTTTACTAACTTATTTTTATAATTTCTTTGATTTATTTATTTTTTTATTATTTATTTTATTCTTTTTAAAAAATAATATTCATAGATATTGGCATAGATCTTAGAAAACTTTATTATTATTGAAAGTATAATCTAATTTTTCTCTCTTTATCCTTTAATTATTTTAATTTCTCCCAACTTTATATTGTTAAGATGAATTCAAGTGAAAACTCACTTACTAATTCATTATAATAATATTAGTAAAACAAGAATAAAAAGAAAAATATCTCTATAGCTAAAATAATTGATTATATTATATAACTTTTCTTGATAAAAATAAGATAATTATAATGTAATAAGTAATATATAGTATAATAATAATTTATAACTTAATATTAATTTTGTTATATATTTTTCTCTTAAAAATTAATATTTTTATTAATATTTAAATTCAAAAAATTTTATAATTTTTATAATATTATAAAGATTTTTTAAGAATTTTCAGATAATATTATAAAGTAAGTAATCTAATTATTTTATTAAATATTAAGATTTATTATAAATAATTCTTTTATTCAAAATTAATTTAACTTCAAATTCTTTTTCTTTAGTTTCAAATATAATTATAGCTTATAATATTAAATATATAAATTTATTATTATTATTAGTATTATATAATTTTAATAATAAAATATATAATTATATATTAAGTTATAGTTTTTAATTATTATTATAATTTATAAAATTATTCAAAAAGTTTTTCTTTTAATTTTAGATATTTAAAATATATATTAATATTAAACTATTAAATATAAAAAGCTATATGAATTAAGTTATTCTTCTTTTTTTTAATCATAAAATTATTTTGATTTAATTTTACATTTTTTTATAACTATTTATAAACTATATTTATTTTATAATATAATATAATCATTAATTTTTCTCAAGTATTTCATTAATATTTTTTATATAATTTTTGCTTATTAAATATAAAAATTTTCTTATAATATTTTAATTATAATTATATTTGTATTAAATTTTATGTTTGATCATATTTAATATAATAAGTATCATAAATATAAAAAAAATTTGCATTTATAAATCTTTCACATTTATATTTTTTATAAATAATATTATTCAAATATATTATCTCTTTTATAATATATCCTTTTTAAAAATAGTATCCAGTTTTACATCAATACTTAGAAAAATTATTCAATTTTAAAAATAGCTATTCTTTATTAAGATCTGAAGTACTATAAGTAATGTATATAGTAATTTTTTATTATAAATTATTTTAAATAATTTATAAAAAAATTATAATAATTAATAAAATTTTTTAATTAAAGAATAATTATAATATTAAAATTTATTAAAAATAAAAAATTTTTATATTAAGAAATATTTTTTATTTGTATTAAATAAAATATATAGTATTATATATTTTTTTATTAATTTAAATGAATTTTCTAATTTTAAATTTAATAAATTTATAAATTATTCAGAAATTATTTATAGTAAATTCAAAATTTCTAATTATAATAACTCATATAATTATGAGATTAATAAACTTAATCTTTTGATTTTATAATTATGAAAGTCACTGTATTTTTTGACACTTTTTAGATACTTAATAAATTTAAATTTTTAAATATCATATATTTACAATATATATTTTTTATATTATATTTTATTAATTATTAAATATAAAATAGATTAATAATACTTTTATTACATAATATATAAGTAATTACAATATATACTATATACAGTGGCAATTATAATTAATGCAACACTTGAACTTTTTACTAATTATAATTAGTAAAAATTCAAGTGTTACATTAATTATGCTTGCCACTGTATATTCTGAAAATATTTGAACAAAACTGAATTAATTAATAAAAATAAAATTTTCTTTCTAAATTAAAATCTTTATTTTAAAATACTTTTTTTGGATTTAATTTGAAAAAATATTTCTAATTGCTATAATTTAATTATAATCACTTTTGCGGTGATTATGCAATTAAAAAAATTATTTATAATTTATTATAATAAAAAAATATTTACAAATAAAATAAAATTTTAATATAGAAGGAAATTTTATTTTACTATATTTTATTAAATTCAGGTGATATCCAAATACTTTTTAAGGTGATATATAACTAAAAGTAATAATTGATTACAATAATATGTTGTCAATAATGATAAAAATTGTATCAATTAAAAAGAATATTAGCAGTGAGTCCGTAAATTCACGAAAATAAGCTATCCACCATTTTTCAGTCAAAATTGAGTGTGTGCAAAAAGTATATATAAACCTAATAAATTTAACTCTGAAAATACTCTTTGACCTCCAAAAATCGCGCAAAAATAATAGGTTTAAATCTTTTTTAAAAGTTAAATTTCTATAGAACCAAAATATTAATTAAAACGGAAATGTAAATTAAAAAAAAAAAACGAATCATCTTATATCAATTTGTAGTTAAAACGTAGCTTTACAATGTTACTTAGAACTACTTTTACAATTTCTATTTAAAATCAACTTTTAAAAAAGGTATCTAAACTTTCGAATACTCACAAACATAATAAATGTTAAATACAATGATGAATGTACAAATTACAGAACTTAAATATCACGAATAAGGTGGTGTTGGGGATATTTAAAATTTATTAAATTTGTAAAGTTGAAATACGAAAATAAAGGTAACGAGTTTGATGCGTAATCTTTTTAAATAATCCATTTTATCTTGAAAATGACAATTAAGGCCCTATTGTTGGGTGGGCTTCTTAAAGAAAAAAAGCATACGATCTATGAATATAAACGCGAAGTAGGTTAAAATCAATGTTGTTAATTTTTTAAAGCTAATGCATGTTGTTGTTTTTTCTTCATGCTAATGCTCATACATCAAAAAGATACAGTATAACAGAAGTTATCGTTCTTTTCGCAGCTGTAATATCATTTAAGTCGAATGATTCAAATTTTCACTAAAATCAATGCAGAAAAAAATCCAAATTTTTTTGAAAAAGTAATTTTGTTCCTCCACAAATACTAGATTGTACCATGAATTTAACTAAGGTGTTATATTGTCATTTATATCAATAATAAAATCCAAGTAAACAATGATTCGATATTTCCAGAATAAAGTTTCACTATCAGATTACGTAAACAACTATTTGCGTCTGACAAACTACATGTATTAACGTTAAAAAAAATAATGCAAAAATTTCTTCTCACGGAGTTTAGTGTAATACGTTGCATATATTCGCAGACAAAGAAAATCGATTGGGAAAGCAGTCTCGATTGATTTCACGCAATGCTTATCGTAATAAACAACGAAAGAGAATCAGACATTCTAATAGGTTTGTGTTTTATTTTTTCATTTTAATGAAAATTTTATGTTATGAATTCTTATTTTCTTGTTTAATAAAATTTTCGAATAAGCATATAACATCCGAGTACAACGAGAAAGAATAAAGTCAGCTTTTTCCCTGTAGCAATTTAAAATTATTAGTCGTACAAATGAAGAAGGTCTCATCCATGAGAGACTAACCGGCAGGCTTGGTTCTTTTGTAAAATCTGATCTGGTAAAATGAAGTAGGAATTTCTATTTGTCTTAAACTATCATTATAATCGAAGATAGATAATTATATGATTTTTATTTTCCTTTAATATGGATGAGTGCTTAATGTATTACAACTCAGCTAAAATTAATTTATATGATTGATTTATATTCACGTTCAGTAGTAAATGGAAAAAAATTATCTTTTATTCTTCTTTCTAATGAGAAATGATTCAAGCCTCGCCGGATGCCCGAGTTCTGAGATCGAAGGTCGCAAGCACATTTTCTCTGTCACTCAGATTACAATCGATTCTGTTGACGTTAGGTATCCATTATCGTTCGACTTGTAAAATGCAGTTGTCGTGAAAAAATTCCAATTCGCTCTTTGAATACGATCATGCTTCGTTGAGTATAAAAATTGCTCATAAATTTTTTATACTGTCATATGAATGGTAAACTACGTTCATTAAATGCGCAACTGGAAAGTAAAATTCTTTAAAAAAAAGTTAATTATACACGCATTTCCTATCATATATGCCCTTTGGATATCTTTTCACCATTTCTTTGCCTCTGGAACATATATGAATATTTCATTCTTCTAAGATACTGATATTGCATTACTTAAATATTCCATACATTAGTCATTTTCGTTCTTTATTGACTTTCATTGGTGAACTGCCACATAAATTACCTTCTAAAAATTCTGCCTAAGATTTAATTTTCTTCAAACAACAATGCTTTTATGTATGCAACGCTTATATATGTTAAAAGATTTTATTAATTAAATATTTTTAAATTTGTAAATTTTCCTAAGATTTATCCTAAAAATCGTTTATTTTTCATAATCGTTCAACTTATCGGCTCGGCACAGCGAAGAACGTACTTATTTATCAAACCCAATTTAGTCCATACTTTTCATCACGATCATACTTTTTATGAATGGCAAGGGGTCGGTCAATCATCATCATACACTAAACTTTTTTTCGGAAATTGGGAATACAAACATAATACAGGTGCATGTACACGTACACTGCCACCAATCTTACACACTACATGTATAAGGTTATGTTTTTTTCTATAGTTCCATAAACAACAACGCAGCAGCGCTAAGTTACTATTGATATTTGGTGGGTGTTGTTTTAAATAATTATACATGTACATGTATTTATCTAGGTGAGTAGGATAAATAAAACTCCTTTTTCGGGAAAGTTTCAAAAAAATATAGAATAATCGATATTGATATCCAATGAACATTTTGTACGACTTTATAGAAATGGCCACTCGCAGTGGTAAAAGAACCAAATCAAGAAAACGAGCAAAGAAATCATCACAAGTACTACAAGATCAACATCAATTAGAAGAAATATTTTCACCTGAATTTCTAGAAAAACGACAACGCACTCTTGATCACATACGTGGCCAAGAATTAGAGTGTAGAAGGGTAATTATCATAGACAAGATTTTCTCCATTATTCCCGATATTTTTCTCGTCGGGTCACATTCTTCCTCTTTCACGCATGATTAATTCTTTTTAGTTGGCAAAGGTATTCACAAAAATGGCGGATTCTCATCGTAAATTCTACGAAGCGGTTGAATCCGTGCAGGAAGAAGAATTATCGAAAATCGCCGCTGATTTATTTTCTCCCGAGAATGATCCATGCAGTGATATACTTGGCTCGGTGCCTGATCCCCTGAAACAAAGCAATGCAATTGATTTCTCGGCGGAACAAAATAGCAACTACACCAATAAGAAAACTTATGGTTTCTATTCGGACGGTGACTTTGAGATGGGAATAGGAGATGCAGATGCTCCATGGGAACCAGACGAAGAGTTATATACTTCCCCCGAGGACGAACAGTTTCAAAAAGAAGACATTGTTTCGTCGCCATCGATACAAGGACAAGAAACTCAAATAGACGTCGTTACTTCTAATCGTGAAGATACCGAAAGTCATATCGATCAACTTGATTATTCGAATTCAGAGGATGCTCAAGCAAAACCTGCCAATTCGATAGTCGAAGACGAGGAAGATAATAATGAATCACACCAAGAACAAATCGAGGAACCACCTTTTGAACCTAAATTTGAGTCCCGATATTTCCGAATGCGACCGGACAAACGAGAGAAATGGACATTGTATCAACGTCAATGGCTTACTCGTGAGTTCCGTGCGCATTTCGAGCGACGCACGGCAATCGATCAAGTCACGAAAAAAGAAGTCTCGGCGGAATTAGAGGGAATAATTGTCGGCAAGCCAGAAATCAATATTTATCAGTGCGTCCGATCTTATTTGACTGGGCGTACTGCGTGTACAAACCCCGACGTCATTGTGGCCATCGAAAAATGGATAAGAAAAGAGGTAGACTCGAATGGTGAAATTGATGAATCACATTTCAACTTTTGATAGACGAAGGTAAATGCATCTTTGAACGGTCTAAATATTAAGATTTATCTTCGAGCTTTTCAATTAATAATCAAGTAATTTATAAAAGAAACAGCTCATTCCTGGATGTTTTTATGCGCATGTAATATACTCTTAAATACATATTTCTTTATTGTATATTCATCATTTCATTCTTATTCCCTACTGTTAGATTATATTCTGCATTATTATCTTGTAAAAATATGAATTATTTGTAATAAAACACTTCTACTTAAAAAATTTGGGAAGACTTTATCAATACCGCTTTAATAAGAAATTGCCATCATTTTCCAATCTGGTGAACAATAACAACCACCTTGTTTATAAATACATGTGCATGTAAAAGCTGACGCGGCAATATACATACATGTACAATTGTAAGCAATAGGTCATGTGCATACAAAGTCACATGAATGAAATTACAAAATTTATTTTGCTGATAAAAAATACCATAAAACCACAAAATTTGGAATTTTGGCAAAAATGGGATACATGTAGTCGTTTAAGTTTGGGTATATCGATATGTGTTTATGCGAAACATTGGATAGTTTAATATAATATTCAGTAACTTGTTTGTAACCGTATTTAGTAGCAATAACTTTTATTTGTAGGTGAATACCAATTCCCATAAATATAAAGGAATTAATATGAAAAGATAAATAGCATTTTCGATTAAAAAGTGAAATGAGTTATACATGACAACCGTAAATTATACGAAAGAATTCAAATTAAAAAAACTCAGTCAGCTAATCCACTAGATCACATTTTCAATGCCATATAGAGATCTTTTGGAAAGTTCCGAATCTATTTGATAACATTCAGCAACTTTGAATTGAGAAGTTTTACCCAGACTCTAAATGCATTATGCTTTTTTCTCATTCCTATTTGTTCCATTTCTTGAAAGTAGCATCTGCAAAGAAAAATGTCGAGCATATTTAATAATTTTCTGATTCTGTTTATTTTTGGAAAACGAAAAAGCTTTTCGTAAAACTTTATTAGTACCCTCGCTGTAATCGCAACATCTGCCACGATTGAATACTTCATTATTTCCCAATATCATTCAAAGTTTTTTCTTATCTTTTGAGTTCTACACCATTTCGATCAAGGCTACTTTGTTCCACCCTCTGCCAATTTTAAATACTACTCGTGTCCTTTTCTCTCTTTTTTTTGAATTCCTGCACGATCTTGTTAACACAAACCGAATTTATACTGCCCCATTCATCTTCTGCTGATTTCAAAAACATTTTCTTGTCTTTTTGAATTCCTATACCACCTTGATAACAGAGATAACAGAAGCCAAGAAATGTCAAAACCAATCAAATATTTCATTACCATTTTTATTCTATTTTTTCGAATACTTGAAATGTTTCAAAAATCATTCTTTGGTATATAGCCAACTATATCAATTAGATAAATAAGTCTAGGTTCATTTATCTCACATTGATAACAAATAATTCGTCTTTATAACTAAATAATTTCTAATTTTTCTGTTCATTCATTTTGACTTATGCCTTATATTATTGCTTTATTCTTAAAGATATCTTTTTCAATTCTCCATTTTCGGAGGAAAACGTTCGTCGAAAAATCGTTGCTAATCTCCCACGGAGTTTTGAATCGTCAAATCCATTGTTAGCCTTGATTTTCATGTAGAACCAATGGTACTGATAAAATCTTAAATTTTCTGTTAAGAATCGCGTATTGCTCATTAATAACAATAATTCATTGAAAATTATGTCATTTTAAATTTGGTCTATCTGCGCTAGGAAGATTCTTACTTTTTCTAGATTCATTTATCTAGTTGCATGTAATAACGATAAAGAATGTCGGTAAACCAATATGCATAAAGTCGGGTTAACGAAGTTGTACCGTTCTAAAAAATGTACATGTACATACATGTGGAATATGCTGCAAGGTACAGTACACTTTATACACTTCATTAATATGAGCGTTTAATGTACTTTATGTAATCCTTCGGAACTATGCACGAATTTGCTATACAATAGAATATAAATCAGTAATAAATCGCAATTTAGTGTTAATTAAAACTTTTTTATGTATATTGCTCGATGTTTAAATTCATTATTATTTCTACAATCTTGATAGTATCACGCAGTTAAGTTCTTACCCAATGTGTCAATATATTTTGATAATAAATTATCTTAGAATTTTTCTTTTCTAATGAAAGCACAAGAAAATTCTGTTACTCAAAAAGCAACCAGATTATACAATGAAAATATGTATGTATATGTTTTTAGACAAGTTAGACCTAATAACGCATTGCTGTATGTTTTCAGAAAATACTTTTTTAGATTAATAACAAAGTTCAAAGATTGATATGATGGTTGTTTGGATTTTTGTGAGCTTATTCAATTTTCGTTGATATGATCATTCTGCTAATTTATCGTATTAGTGTCAATGTCATTTTGTTCATGAGATTTTGTATATAGCTCGTTATCTAATGACGATATTCAAAAGCGTCATCGTTAAGTTCATTGAACCAATTCACACAACAGCACGCATCATATTGTGTGATGACGTCGAATCCCGTAATGTATTTTGCTGTGTTGAACGATAAATTGTTGAATTTAGGTCGTTGAAATTGTATATAAAATGGTATGTTAACATGTCATGATTAGCATATGCCTTAATTATGAAATATTGAAGGAGTAGTAGCATTATTGCTCGTAAAATTTAAAAAAATCAACGTAAAAAAAATTAGGGATTGCAACCATTACGGGTTTTTTTACGTTATGTGGATCTCAATGAGATTAGTTTAATTGGAAATTTTTCAATAAGTGAAGCATCTCTAAATGCATTCTATAAATATCCACATCTTTTATAAAATGTACTTCCATGACCGACGCATAAAAGTCTTGATTGAAATTGGATTAGGAAATAGTTTAGACATTATCGTTATGGCTTATCCAAACTTTAAGTAATTGTCGTATTTTCCATCAATTTGATCCATCTTAACAGACAAATCAAATGATATCAAAATCATTTTAATGACTGTTTAAGATTAAATACTTTGAAGTTCCCATATATCAATTACGTTCCTACATGTACACTCTCTGGTCAAAAAGTATCCAACCACTTTAAAATCGGTAACAATTTATAAACAAACATTATAAAAAATTTATATCATTTTATTCAGAAAAACATGAATTTTATTAATATCTAGTTGGATTTCCATGGCTATCCAATACAGTTTGAACCATCCTAAGCAAACTTTCAACTAAATTTGTTAAAATTTCAGGCTTAATTTTATTCCACTTTTCTTCCAAAACTACTATTAATTTCACAATATTTTTTGTTTCTAACCCTTCTTTCCAAAACATCCCACAGATGTTCAATTGGATTAAGATCTGGACTCTGTGCAGGTCATGAAAGACTTAATACCAAATTATTCTTCTTCCATTGATTAATCATTCTTGTCCTATGTATTGGAGCATTATCATCTTGAAAATATATTGTAAATTATTTTTTAAAATATTATAAAAGGATAAAAAAGTATTTTTTAATATTTATATATTTACAAAACCTGTTATTTTACCTGAAAATTGAATTGAAGAATCAATTTTATCTTTTGCAAAACATTTCCATATCATATCTCTTTGATTTTCAGATTTTACAGTTGAAATTAAGTAATTCATATTATATTCTCATGTGATTTATGTCAAATTCAGTGATATATATCATTCTAAAATAGTTTTTTCTTTTCAACTCATTCATAAAATTCCTTAATATGTAAAGTAATACTTTATGATTTTAGAAAATACTGAATTAATAAAAACTCACTAAATATTTTATTATTTTCTCTAGTAACTATCATTAGTCTTCTTAAAATACTTTTAATTTCTTTTTTTATAAGTTTTAATAATCTTTCTGAATGCAGAATATTTATAATATTTTCTGAATTTTTGTATTTTATTATAATATTATAAATAATAATTTTAGAATATCCAAGAATTTTTCTAATATTTTATCTTTTTCAGTAAGTTCATGTCTTTTAAATATAATAAAAGAAAAATTTTATATTTTTAAATAAAAAAAATCTTATTATTTATACTAATAATTTTAATATTTAATAAAAAAAAATAAATCTAATAATCAGATACTTTTGATCAGAAAGTATATATCTAATATATATTAATATTAATATTATATAATATTTATTATAATATCTTCTTGATAAAGTATTCTCTTTATATAATATGAAAATATTATTTAATTTTAAGTTAAAATATTATTGAATAGTATTCTAATACTAATCATTCTAATTAATTACAAATAAATTTATAATATATTTCATATAATAAATTATAAACTAATATGATAAGAATTAAAATATATATTATTATATATTATAATTTATTAGATATTTTTAAATTCATATTTTAGAAGATAAGTTTTTAATTAATAAATACTAACTAATAATAGAATAAGAAAAAGATAAAATTTTACTAATATTATAAAAATTATAATCTATTTCTTTAATTATTTTATATATTTAAATAATTTATTTTCTATTTATTATAATAATTATTCTTAATATTATTATTATTAAGATCAATTTCATTTATAATTTTACTATTATTTTTCAATATTTTTATATTATTACTTATTTAATTTGATATTTTATATTATTATAATCAAATATTAACTTATTTTTTATTCTATTTTGATTATTAAAAATATTATAATATTTAAATATATATTAAATTAATTTAATATTAATTGTATTTTTAGAAAGTATTAATTTAACTTATAATAATTTTATAAAATAACTTTTTAATTTTATTAATAAATATTAGTTCTTTTATTGATTTAATTATTAATTTATTATAATACTTGTAAAAATAACTTTATCACTTAAGCTAATACTTTATTTTAATAAATTAATTAGTTTTATTTCTTATAAAAAATATTTTTTATATTTCAATATTTGATATTTTCTATTTTATTTATTTTATAATAAAAAA